ACGCAGCACCGCCGTGAGGCTAATGGGGAATGAGTGCATTCGCCTTACCATGCGTAGGGATTCGGATTTTTTCTTTAATTGCCCACCCCTCGCGCGGTTCTAGACACGATGCCTCGCTCTCTGCGCCGAGCCACCCTATTGACTCGAACATTTTCTTTTTGCAGGGCGAAATTTATCCCTGCTTATTGGCTCTGATGGCGAGGAAAAAATGGTGATGGTGATGGTGATGATGATGATGCTAATGCTGATGATGAGGATGCAGATGATGATGATGATGCTGGTGATGATGGTGATGGTGGTACTTATTAGGAGGACGATAATGATGGAGATGGTAATGGTGATGGCGATGGTGATGCTGATGGTGGTGGTGGTGGTGTTGATGGGGATGATGATGATGACGATGATGACGACGACGCCGATGATGATGATGATGATGATGATGATGACGGTGATAATGATGATGATGATGCTGATGATGATGACGCCTATGATGATGATGATGATGATGGTGATGCTGATTCTGATGACGATGATGATTATGATGACGATGAATGGCGATGGTGTTAATACGGGTGATGCTTTTAACGATGATGATGATGCTGGTGATGCTGGTGATTCTGATGTTGCTGATGATGCTGATGACGATGGTGATGATGATGATGATGATGATGACGAAAATGATGATGATGATGATGATGATGATGATGATGATGATGTGATGATGAATAAGATGAAGCTGATGATGATGATGATGATGCTGATTTTGCTGATGATGGCGATGGCTATGGCGACGATGGTGATATTGATGATGATTAGGATGAAGATGATGATGATTATGATAAAGATGATGATGCTGATGATGATGAAGGCGATGATGATGATGATGATGATGATGATGATCATGATGATGATGATGATGATGATGCTGATGCTGATTCAGCTGCTGCTGATGATGGTGATGGTGGTGGTGGTGGTTGTGTTGGTGGCGATGATGATGGTGATGATGATGCTGATGCTGCTGATGATGGTGGTGATGATGATGAGGATGATGATGATGATGCTGATGCTGATGAGGATGAACATTATATTGAGGATAAAGAGGATTACGATGATAATGCTGCTGCTGATGATGGTGATGATGATGATGATGATGATGATGACGATGGTGATGATGATGATGATGATGATGATGATGATGATGGTGATGAGGATCAGGAGGAGGAGGAGGAGGAGGAGGATCAGGAGGAGGTGGAGGAGGACGGCGGAGGAGGACGGCGGAAGACGCTCGTGAGGTGCAGCTGGCGCTGAAGTGGCGGGACGCCGTGCAGATGCTGGCCGCCGGGCAGGTGCCTTCGGGCTCGCACTCCTTTGCGTGGACGTCCATGCTGCGCCACTACGCCGACGCAGTGGCGGGGCCCCCCGTCGCGCAGGGCGGCGCCGGCGATGGCTCGCTCGGCGCGGCGGCGGCGGTTCCAGGCGCCGGCGGCGGCTGCTATCTAGGCCTCCCAGGTGGGGTCGGAGGGTTGCGCCGCATCGCCGATGCATCGGCGAAGTCGTCGATGCATCGGCGATGCGTCGGCGATGTGATCTTCCGACCCCCATCTAACCTCAGAGGGTCTTTGATGCTAACGGGGAATATCCTAAGCTCTTGGCTGGCAATTGAACTCGTCCTTACCCACGTCGTCGTCCTCCTCATCATCATCATCACCTCTCATCATCAGCAACACCACCATCATCATTATCACCATCATCGCTATCATCACTACTATTGTCATCATCATGCTCAGCATCGTCTTCATCTTTTTCATCATCACCATCATCACCATCATCATCATCCTCATCATCATCATCTTCATCCCCCTTCTCATTATTATCACCGTTCTAATGATTGGAACCTGTATCACCATCATCACCATCATCATCACCATCATACTCATCATTTTTAAAATCGTCACCATCATCATCAGCATCACCATCATCGTCATCATCATCATCACAATCAAGATCATAATCACAATCATAAACATCAACATAATCATAATCATCATTCCCAACAACACCAACACCATTAGCACAATTATAATCATTGCCACCATCATTATCATCACCATCCCTCATTTCTACCATCAGCATCATTCTCATCACCATCTTCATCATCATATTCAGCATCATCATGATCAGTGGTATCACCATTCACATCATCATCACCACCACCACCACCATCATCATCATCATCATCATCCACCACCACCACCACCATCATCATCATCATCATCATCATCATCATCATAAGCACCACATCATCATCATCATCATCATCATCATCACCATCAGCAGCAGCAGCAGCAGCAGCAGCAGGGCTCTTCATCTTCATCTCCCCCCGCATCATTTGGGTTTTCAAGAGCCTCGGAGGCTTCTCGGACCCCATTTGGGAGGCCTCCAGGCGCTGCGGCGGTTCCCGGCGGCGGCGGCTACGTGCTCGGTCTGGGCGGCTTCGAGGCCCGCTACGCGTGGCAGTACACTGGGGCGCCAGGGCGCGTGTACGTGCACCCGCAGAGGATCCGCAGAGGGCATCGACGTATATCAGGATGCAGAAGTAGACATAGACACAAGCAAACGTCGATTCCCACGAAGATATGGGAAATTAGGGGAAATGGAGGAGAAGGCAGAAAGCCAGAAAATATCCAGCTGCCTACGGAAAGTCCAGTCACCGTGCCTGGGTTGTGGGTTTCAAGCCTGGTGGATGTTCGTTGGAATCTCGTGGGAGGCCTCTCGGGGGCCTCTTGGAGGCAGTTTTGTTGTCCTTCGGGGCCGTTTTGGGGCCTCTTGGGGATCTCCTGAGGGCCTCTTGGGGGCCTCTTGGGGCCTCTTGGGGCCTTTAGGGGGCCTCTTGGGGCCTCTTGGGCGCCTCTTGGGGCCTCCTGCGGGCCCCTTGGGGCGGAAGGCTCGGATTTTCGGTTCGTGTTCCCTCTCTGGGGCCCCTTTTGGGGCCGTCTTTGGGCCCTCTTGGGCCGTCTTGGGCGCCTCTTGGGCCGTCTTGGGGCGCTCTAAGGCCGTCTTGGGGTATCTTGGAGGCCTTTTGGCCCGTTTTGGAGTGGCCTCAGGGGCCTCTTGGGCCGTCTTGGAGCGTTGGAAAGCCGAAAAGGCGAGAACGCCCAAATCCTTAAATGATTTTTGCCTTTGGGGGCCCTGGGAGACCTCTTGGAGGCCTCTTGGGGCGCCTTGGAAGCCTCTTGCGCCATCTTGAAGCCATCTTGGGCGTCTTCGAGCGATCGTTCGGCGACTCGAGGCCCTCTTGGACCGTCTTGGGGGACTCCTGGGCCGTCACGGAAGCCTTGGAGAGCCCCAGGGAGGCGCCATGGCTGCCCCAGGGACCCCCCGGGAGCATGGCTGGTGCATGGCCGGGGCACGCAGCGAGGCGCTTCCCGAGGAGGTGGGGGCCCCTTAGAAAAGCGCAGAAGCCCTGCCAGACAGCACTTGGCATTCTACCGCGCCTCAACGTGCCAGGGGGCACGCTGGCGGGTTGAGAAGTATGGGGAATCATCGGACTTGTGTCTATTCCTTTGTGTGTCCCTGGGCCCATGCAGTATGGCAGGTTCCCGCCGTGTCTGCGCGGCGGCGACGCCAGCGCGGGCGGGCGTTCAAGGTTGAGCGCCGCTGGTGGCTCGGAGTCGTCCGATGTTGAATGGCTTCCGTCATCGGGAAGCCGCAATCGTTCGAGGTTGAACGATCCATGCGATGTCAAAAGCTTGCGCCTGGGTCGTCACGGAACGATCCTGCCGGAAACATCACCATGTGCCTGGTCAGGGGGCATCCTGGGCTCGAGGGTGGTTCGTGGACCCTCCTGGGCTCGGCCAGGAGGGCGTCCACGCAAGTACTGGGGCCCAGGCATGGCGGTAGTGTGCTGCTTGCCCTCGCCAGACATCCAACGGTCTGACTTTTCGATGCGCGGCCCCAGCAGTCCCGACCCCTCTCCCTGGGGCCAGACTCCTCGCCCCGGACCCGTTTTGGATGGTCCCCGGGCCCGGCGCCAGGCCGTCGCGGCCGAAATCGATGGAAGCCGCCCGGACTGAAGAAATCCCGCGAGCGGCGCGGCAGAGCGGGGTCGTCGTCACCGGCACTGGCGCGCAAGCCTCCCGCGTGAGGGCTCGCGCGTGTCGGCGCCCTCGCCTCCCGTGTGGAGCGCCGCGCCGGCGGCCCGCGTGCGCCACCGCGCGGGGTCGCCATGTGTGTCATGTGGTGTGAAGCCCACCCTTGTCTCGGAGGTGGACAGACCTCCTACCTGACACGTCGATTGAGGAATTGGCCGTTTTCGGTTCGCGAGAGGGCGTCGCGGCCGTCATTTTTGCGGGTCCAGGTCCGTCTGTTTCGGTCCCAGGCCGCTGTCACTAAGGGGAGGTTTACGAAAGGGAGGTTTGTCCACCGCCGACTTGTCTGCTCGTCGGTCGTGTCGTCCGAGCCCTGGGCCTGCGCAGAGGAGCCAGGGGCTCCTGGCGCAGGCGCACGCCTTCGTGACGCACCGGGGGGTGCTGGCCTGGGGTGCGTGCGCGGACGCGCGGGCGGAGCCGGCGGCGATGCTGGCCCACTGCCTGGGGGTGGCCGAGGATCGGGGGCGGCCCGGCCGACCCCCTGCAGGAAACCATCCCGTTTCAGCCACGCGCAGAGGGGGGTGGGGGGTGGGGGGAGGGCTTCTTAGAAGCACCCCTGCTTCTTAGAAGGCGCGGGCCTTCTCTATAGATGCAAGGCTGGCGCCTTCTAAAAAGCAGCCTCCTTCTAAGAAGCCCTCCCCCCTCCCCCTACCCCCTTGTGCGCACCGCCAACCATTCCGTGGCGTCCCCCTCGCCGCACCCCAAGACGTACGTGTGCGGTTGGGGGGCGCGGGAGACGTCACGGAGGGTGCTCGTGCCGGAAGGGCTCGGCTTGGCCGTGCCCCAGAGGAGAGCTACGCTGTGCACTGGCGCTCGTCGCCCACGGGGCTCCTCAAGCACTTGGGGGGCGCGATGCTGGCTGTCAGGGGCAACGTTAGGGTGGGATGGGTTCGGGGGGGGATGCATCGATCCCCGATCGCCCATTCTTCGCCGATAGGGACACGATTGCCTACCCCGCCCAGGAACGTGCGGGGGCCTATTTGCAGTTCCATCGGCGGTGTCTCGCCGATTCCAGTTCGATCCCTGAGCTGGCCCACCCCCCCCCCAAAACCTTCCCCTTTCAGGCTGGCATCTGGCTCACCTTCGTCATCGACGAGAGCGCCAGTGCCAACCTGCTGTCCGTGCTCGCCCAGGAATTGCATGGCGTCCTGGACATGCGCCGGAAGAGGTACTCGAATGCCGACGGGGGCGGCGACAGCTTGTCCGCCCACAGGGCTGCGGTCCTGTCTCGCACAGTCGTCCCCTACCAGGAGGCGGCCGCGATCACCGAGACGAGCCACGTGAGTTTTCGGTGCAGCCCCGGCTGCCTCCGGGGCCCGCGCCTGCCGCTGCTGCTGCTGCAGACCTTCCGGCCCTACGCGATGCCACGGCCCGGCCTCCTGGCGCTCTGCGAGCTGTGGCTCATGCTCGCCGGCCTGGAGTTCCAGTACGCCAGGCCCCTGGCGCAGTGCGCCTCCGCGGTGTGGCGCCTCAGCGACGAGGCTGGGCTCGCCGGCGGGGCGCGGCAACCGCGGGCCGGGGCGGCGGTCGCGGGGACGGCGACGCCCCGGCTGTCGCAGCTGAGGCAGCTGTGCGAGCTGGCCGTTCGGGTGGCGGGCACGCTGCCCCGGCGGCGGGGGTCCGTGCGCCACCGCTCCTCCGTGGGGGCGGCCTCTGGCAGCAGCTCGCTCGGCGCTGATCGGCGCAGCACCGTCTCGGCCCACTCCGACCGGCGCAGCAGCAGCAGCGGGGGCCTCGGCGATCGGCGCGCCAGCGCCGTGGGCGTCGCTGGCGGCGAGAGGCGCCCCAGCCTCGCCGGCTCCGCGGCGGGCCTGGCGGCGGGCCTGGCGGCAGGAGAGCTGTGCCCAGAGGCGCCGCCCTGGGCGCGCGTCGGGCTGTACCTGGCCTTTGAGGAGCTGTTTGGCTGCGGCGGCGGTCGGGTCGGGCGGCCGTGCTTCAGGCAGGTCCAGCACCTGCTGCTTATCTCCGACGAGGAGACGCAGTCGGCCCGCAGGTGGTGGGACACCTGGGACGCTCGCGTGCACGCCACCGAGGCCTTCGGCGCGCTGGGGCTCGCCTGCTCCGAGCAGCAGGTGAACGCGGTGGTACAGATGAGATGCTGGCTCCGCGCGGACGGGAGCGATGGCCCGCGCACTCGGGGTGTCCTCGTCCTTGCCGACAGCGCGCTGGGCAAGTCCGTGTGCGTCGACGCGCTCGTCGAGAGCCTGTCCATGGCGGGTGAGCCCCAGGAACTCCGGCGCCTCAACGCCGCGTCCCTGGTGCTGGACGCCGCCGACGCGGCGCTGCGGCCGTCGGAGTCGGGGGCCAGATTCGCTCCTCAGCCGGCCGAGCTGGGCGTGCTGGACGGCTCGGGGGCGCGCGCCGAGGAGGGCCCTGCGCCGGTCCGGTCGGTGCTTGTGCACATTGACGGCGAAGTCGGCTGCTCGCTGCAGGGCGGCCTCGCCGCGGCGCTGGCCGGCGTGGGCGAGGTGGGCATGGTGGGCCAGGCCGGGCTGCACCTCTCCGAGCAGTCCTGGCTGACCCTGGGCCCAGGGGCGTCCCAGGCGCACGGGAGCCTCGGGCTGGTGCTGGAGATGTCCCCCGACGCCTCGCGGTCCCTGGGCCCCGACCTCGTCGCCCTCTGCGGCGTGGTGCACCTCGGGGCGCCCGGGGGCGCCGCCGAGGAGCGGGAGGTCTTCGTCGGGGGCTGGCTCGAGCAGGCGAGGGCGCGGTGGGGGGACGCGCTCGCTGGGGTGCTCGGCAACCTCATCGAGGCCATGCTGGAGCCGGTGGTGCTGCTCCTCTTCGGCGACGTCGCCCTCTCCGCCGACGGCGCGCGGGTGGAGGGCGACCTGCCGCCAGACGCGCCCGCGGCGCGCGTGCTGCTGGAGGCCTTCACCAGCGCGGAGGTGAGGAAGATGCGGCGGCGCCTGGCGCTCTCGCGCCCGGCCGGCCTGGACGGCCTCTCGTCCGACTGGGCGCTGGGCCCGCTGCCGCGGCACCTGGTCCTGCTGCAGGTCCCCAGAGGGGCTCGATGTACATGTATCGGAGACTCCTGCGGCGAATCACCGCCGCCCCCTGCCTTTTGGAATCGCCCATGTGGTCGGCTTCCAGACCCTGGATTCCGTATGTAGTGTTTCGTCATCCAGCGCCCTCGCCGTATTTTTCATTCCGTCCACCGGAAAACGGTCCGCTTTCGTCGCCTCTTACATCCACCTCTCTAGTGTCTTCCGCCGTCGTCGTCGTCGACGTCGTTTTCGTGTGCGCGGACGCTGCGGTGGTGCCAGAATCACACGGCGGGGGGGGGGGGGGGGGCGTTGCGTTGTGCCCCCCCGTCCCCCCCATGCCTCATACATGAGTATGTGTGTGTGTATATATATATATATGTTTATATGTACAGATTCACACATACGCATACACACATACACCACATCGTTTGGCCGTCCCACGGGAGCCAAGGAGTTCGGCGACAGCTTCGCATAGGTTGGGAAGTTGGGTCGTCCATCCACCGAGCTCCCCGGCCAACCAGACCACGTGCGGTGCGCGCATCGCCGAGCCCCTCCCAGGTCCGCGACGCCTTCTTCGCGTTCTTCGGGGGCTGGCACCGACGGGCGGCGGCGAAGGAGGCCAACCCCTTCCTGCAGGAGCCGCGCCCGCGCGACCCCAGCGCCGCGGGCGAGCCCGCGGCCGCCCCCGGCATGGACTCGGCCAGCGCCTCGCCGGGCGACGGCGAACCCCGGGAGGCGGCGGCGAGCGCGTCGCAGGTCACCGTGGGCTTCCTGTTCGCGCTCTCCTGGGGCCTGGCGCCGCTGCTCGCGGAGGCCGCGCTGCCCCAGTTCCAGGAGGTGCTGGCCCGGCTCTACGAGGTGGCCCCGGGCAAGGCGGGCGGCGTGCCGCTGCCCTCCGAGTACAGCATCTTCGACGCCGTGCCCGAGCCGTCGCTGCGCCACTTCCAGCACATCGACATGGTGCTGAGCGAGCCCGAGAAGGCGGACCTCGACGCGTACGTGCACGTGCCCACCAAGACCGTCCGGCGGTTCCTCTCCCTGGCCATGGTGCTGGCGCCCTCGCAGACGCACATGTGCCTCCTGGGCCCCCCCGGCAGCGGGAAGAGCGCGGCCGTCGGCGCGCTGATCTCGAGGCTCAATCTCGTTTAACCGACCCCTATCCCCTATCCCCCATCCCCATCCCCACCCCATCCTAGATCCCCATCCAACGGCCCACATCCCCAGCTGTGGGGGTAAATCGGTCAGTGGGGCCCAGGTCATGCCCATGGGAATACAGTTGGCACTTCTAGTCAGGATAAAGGCTTCCCTTGCACCCGTTCCCTTCGGCCCATCCTCGGCCACTTTCGCAGGCCGCACCCCACTCGGAAAGTGTCGGCGTGGCTTTCAAGGCCGTTGCACCCCTCTCGTGCACCCGCCCTTCCTATCAGTTTTGACTGTAGGGGTCGGTTGAGCGGTGCTCCGAGGCTCCCGCTGCAGGCGGCGCCCGCGGCGCTGCCGCCGTTCCACTCGATCCCGCAGGGCGGCCGCGCACCGACGGCCAGGCCCTTCGGCGGCGCCGTGGCGGCGAGGTACCTGAGCGTGGCCCCCTGGACGCCGATGGGGCTCTGGGAGCGGGTCCGGCAGCAAATCGTGGGAGCCTTGTCTTCGGGGGTGGCCGGATGTGCACCCCCCGCTCTCCGCGCCACTCTGGAGCCCCTGGGGCCCCTCCCTGGGCCTCGTGAGGGGTGCTCTGGAGGCCGCGGGGGCCCCCCTGGGTAAGCCTGGAGCCTTGTATTCAGAGGGCCAAGAGGCCATGAGAACGATGTGTTCCAAGATTCCCACGGTTTCCAGGAGTTCCCATACTTCCTAATGTTCCGCACCGCCTGCGCCGCTAGATACTCTGGAAATCCTGGGACGTATCCTGAGCCAATCTTATCATGAGATTCTCGTTTTTTTTTGTATCGAAGACGCCTGCGGCGAATCACCGCCGCACCCTGCCTTCTGGAATCGCCCATGTGGGCGAACGTTGTGGCCAGAGCTCTGCCAAGCTATTGGACTAAGTGCTCCCCCAGCCGTTGTGGAAAGCCTTCGGGGAACCTTTTGGGGGGATGGCGGTGAAGATCAGGATGAGAAGGAGCAGGAGGAGGAGGAGGAGGAGGAGGAGGAGGAGGAGGAGGAGGAGGAGGAGGAGGAGGAGGTGAGATTATCTTGGGAGCCTCTGGGGGCACTCATGGGGCCTCCTTGGAGCTGCCCGGAGGCCTCCTCGGGGCATCTTGTGGGCCTCCTTGGGCCTCTTGGGGGCCTTCGGGGGCTTCTTCGGGCCTCTTTGGCCGTCTTCGGGCGTTCCTGGCCCGTCTGACGCCGTCGGAAGCCGTCTTGGGGGGCTCTACAGCTTGACGTTCAGATGTCCTCTGGTGATTCCACTAGTTACTAGTTGTTGAACTGCACTTCGCACGCTTCGCATCCTCCTAGTATCTTGAAAGAACAACATTCCTCGGTCGCCTTGCAGCTCCTGCACTGCTTGGGTCCGCAAGGCACAAGCGCTCCGCACCTTCCGCACTGGTCTAGTCCTGTCTCAAAGGCGTCGGTGTCGACCATTCCGCACGTCTCAAAGGTGTCTCAAAAGCATCAAACATCCTTTCCTGGAACGCTGCGTGCATGAGAGCGGCCACTTCTCCACCCTGCTCGATTACCAATTCCAATCCTTGCCGCTCGTTGCTCACGAGGATCATCCCTTCGTGCTGACGTCCTCCCCATGCACTTGATGTGACTTCGGGGCCGTCCTGGATCATCATTACTGCCTCCAGCGTACTTTGCGCGGCTCGACGGCTGCGCATCTCGGCTGCTGCTACGTCTAGTGGTGGGTTCATGGTGGTGCCGGAATTGGGTAGTGACGTGTCAGCGTCATCCGCTGCATGACCGTGGCCTTTCCTCCTGACGGGTACCCATGCCGCTCCGCCAGGAGGGATCACCACTTCGATTGCATCCAGGACTTGGTCGTCGTACTCGATGGGTTTCTCGACCGCGCCGACCATGGCCATGCTGGTCTTCCGTCCTCGTCCTATTCGCCCTCCGAGTCTGAGGGTGTTCGGAACGATCTCCGAGCGGGCCGCGTCGACATCTCTGCCCGCCTGGCCTTGGCTGTGCTCCTCCAGCCGCTGCACGTGCAGGTCCAGGGCCCTCAAGCAGAAGCTCGACCTGGATGGCGTCACTTCCAGCCCTGGACGTTTGACACAGTCAGCAGGCATGCCTCCCCGGATGATCGGCACCCAATCCGTCTCCTCTTGCGCCAGAAACTTCAGCGTCGCTGGCACGGACCTTGCGCTCCAGTAGTCTTGTTCTGGAATGTTGCCATCAAGGTCACAGCTCCGATCAGCGGGACCGTCACTCCGCTTGCGACCCCTCGGCACTCTTCGCGGTGGCTCGAGGTTTCGGGTTTGACGAAGGAGGTTTCGGGTATTGCTCGCCTCGCAGACATTGAGGATGCCTAGCGCTGCTTCCTCAGGTATGGTATTCAGGCCCGCCCTGGAGTCGAACACGACTTCCCTGCGGGTCGGTCCCAGTCCTGCTGTGCTGTCATGCTGGCAACTCTTCGCTTTAACCTTGGCCGTACCCCAGCACCCGTCGGGGAGCTCCGCCAGTTTCCCGACCGTCTTTGGCTTTCTGGGGCAGACGCCCCCAGGTCCGCCGACAACTGGGTCCAGCCTCCCTGTGGTCAATCGCGCGACCTCTTCGCGATGCTGCTGCTGGTCGGTGGCTCGGTCCTTCCCGTAATCGTAGAAGGCTGAGTGGCGGTCGTACTCTTGAGTTGATCCAACTGGTGGGGCGAAGCCCTCTACGGAGGGGTCCAGGGGAGGGGCGAGGCGCGGGAGGGTTGGGTAATGCCCCCCCCCCCTCCCCCCAAAGACGGCTCCAGAGGCGCCCAGGACCGCCCAAGAAGCGCCCAAGACGCTTCCAAGAGGGGGGCAAGAGGGCTCCAAGACGGCCCGAGAGCGCTCCAAGAGACCTCCAATACCGTTCCAATATGGCCTAAGAAGGTCTCACGATGGTCCAAGAGGTCCCCGAGGGACCCCAAGAGGCCTCCAGGAGGCTTCCCGAGAGGACCCAGAGAGGCAACATTCATTTATTATTCGTTGGGTCTTGATGCTTTTTCGGGTTCTTGCCCTTTCGAGCCAAGAACGACCCAAAACGACCCAAGAGCCTCCAAAGACCGTCCCCAGAGGGCCCAAGAGGCCCCCCAAAGGGCCCGAAAACGGTCCAAGAGGGCCCCATGACGGCCCAAGAGGGTCCCAAAACGGCCAAGAGTGTCCCAAGGCGGCCCCGAGAGAGCCTCAAGAGAGCCCCAAGAGGTTCCCAGGATGGCCCCAAGAGGCCCCCAAGAGAACCTCAAGACGGCCAAATACTTCAAATACGCCCCAAGACGCCCCCAGACGGCCCAAAAGGGCCCCAAGACGGCCCAAGAGGGTCCTGAAACGGTCCAGAAGGGCCCCCAAAGGGCCCCAAACAGACCCCCAAGAACCCCCAGAGACGCAACGTAATGATGGGCCCTGACATCGACTGGTGACGTAACAAGCTCTGAACACCAAGGCTCCCCAGAGCGCGGTGACGTAAAAAGCTCTTAGCAGCAACGCACCCAAGAGCGAGCGGCAACGTAAAAGTCTGTAACACCAAGGCTCCCAACAGAGAGCGGTGATGTAACAAGATCTTGACTCCGAGGCTCCCATGAGAGCGAAGGGTGCAGTGAACCATCTCGGGCAAGTTCCTGAAGCGCCCTTTTCGTTCCCGTGCCGGCCCAGGTAACGGAAAGAGCGAGGCACGAGTGATGACGTTCTTGTGGGGCGAAGCCATCTAGGTAGGGGAGGGGCTCCCGGGGAGGGGGGCAGGCAGAGTGACCGGGATAACGGAAAGAGCGAGGTACGAGTGATGACGTTCTGGTGTGGGCGAAGCCCTAGAGGGAGGGGTTCCAGGGGAGGGGCGAAGCGTGAGGAGATGGGCGTTAATGGCCGTTTTGGGCCGTCTCCCTCGGGTTTTTGCATGTTTTTCGGGTTTCTCCCCCAAGACAGCCCAAGAGCGCTCCAAGAGAGCCCAAGACCGCCCAAGGCGGCCCAAGAGGCCCCCAAAAGGCCCTCTTGGGGCGCCCAAGGGGCGTCCCAAGAGGGCCCCAAGAGGCCAAAATCATTGGTTTTCCGAAGGAAACGTGCATTTTTAGCATATGCGGCTTTTCGGCTTTCACGGCGTTGGCGACGGTCCACGAGGCACCCAAGACCGCCCCAAGACGGCCCAAGAGGCTCCCAAGAGACCCCCAAAACAGCTAAAGAGGGCGCCCAGACGGCCCAAGAGGCGCCCAAGACGGCCCAAGAGGGCCCCAAGGGCCCCCCAAGAAGCCCCAAGAGGCCCCCAAGAGGCGTCCCAGGAGGCCCCCAGGAGGCCAACATTATGAAATTCCGATGGGGAAAGGTTCATTTTTACCGTGCACGGCTTTTCGGCGTTCACGGCGTCGAAGACGGTCCACGAGGCACCCAAGACCGCCCCAAGACGGCCCAAGAGGCTCCCTAAGAGGCCCCCAAAACGGCCCAAGAGGGCCCCAAGACGGCCCAAGAGGCGCCCAAGACGGCCCAAGAGGGCCCCAAGACGGCCCCAAGAGGGGGACCACGAACCGAAAAGTGTAGCCTTTCGCCTCAAGAAGCTCCCAGGAGGCCCCCAGAGCCCGCCAAGAAGCCCCAAGACGCACCCAAGAGGCCCCCAAAAGGCCCCCAAAAGGGCTCCGAAAGGGCCCCAGTAGGACTCCCAAGAAGGCCCAGAGACGCCAAATAGAGAGCGATCGGTAACGCAAAAAGCTCTTCACACCAAGGCTTCCAAGAGCGAACGGTGACGTTAACAAACTGATAAGACCAGGGCTCCCAGCAGAGAGCGGTGACGTAACAAGTTCCTGACACCAAGGCCCAGCCAAGCGCAACAATCTCTGAACACCAAGGCTCCCACGAGCGAGGGGTGACGTAACAAGCTCTCAACGCCAAGGCTCCCGGTACGAACGGTGGTGTGAGTAATTTCGGTTTCTTTTTCTGAAGCGCTCTTTCCGTTTCTGTGCTGGGCCAGGTCCACTGGCCAGTTTCCTTTTTTTTTCTCGAGTGAATCGGCTCCAGGGCGGCTCACATGGCCCGATTACTGATATTTTTTCGAGTGAAGCGGCTCAAGGGTCCCAAGCCGACCCAAGAGGCCCCCAAACGGCCCAAGAGGGCACCAAGACGGCCCCAAGACAGCCTAAGATGGCCTCCAGACGGTATAAGATAGCTTCAAGACGGCTCCAGAGGCCATCAAGAGGGCCCCCGAGAGGGCCCTAGGAGGCCAAAAACATTGATTTTCCTTAGGTTCTTGAAGGTTTTTCGGGTTCTCGCCTTTTCGGGCCCAGAAGGGCCCAAGACGGCCCAAGGGGTCCACAAGATCGTCCCAAGAGGGCCCCAGAGGCCCCCCGAAGGCGCCGAAAACGATCCAGAGGGCCCCCAATCGGCCCAAGAGGGCCCCAAGGCGGCCCCAAGAGAGCCCCAAGAGGGCTCCAAGACGAGGCGGTGTGGGGACTGGGCTGCTTGGGTGTGGGGACTGGGCTGGCCCCAAGACGGCCCACGAGTACCAAAACG